ATTATTTCAGTAAGACTTCTTTGGTTGTGGAGATTAGTCATGATTAACTAATTAGTAGAACTTCAATAAAATGTTTGGTGTCCCAATGATTTGTCTGGGTCGACCCACAAATATTAAGTTATCATGGTTTGTCTTGTCTTTTAGGCATATTTTTTATTCGATCGTTGAATGTCTAATAATATTATTGAGTTTTTATTAAATTAAATAATTTTATGTTAGCAACCAAACGAGGCCTGGTAGTAGTAAAGAGTCGTGTTTGTAGTCTTAGGGCTCGTTTGGTTACCGCTATAAGGTGCTACTGACTAAATAGTAGATGCTAATAACACGTTCGGTTGGTAAGATTCAGAGTTTTTCAAACCCGCTACTAAAATCAAAGCCCGCTATTAAATGTTATTATTTCATTAAATTAGTAGCACCCCTCCCCCTGAGATTAATTTAATAGGGGGTGACTAAAAAAGAAAAATACAATTTTATCCTTAAATTTATATTTTATTATTGTAAACTAAGTGGTTTTATAGACAATTCATATATAATAACTGATTTTAACAAATTTAATAGAAAATCTAATCTAAGAAACCGAACATGCTATTAACTAAATAATTAATTAGTCAATAGGAAGTTAATTCAATCTCATGTAATCCAATTTAATCCAATATAGATAACCGAACGAGCCCTTAGGAAATATAATGGGAAAATTAGTTAATAGTCCCTAAGATTGGACAATTATTAACAATAAGGACAATGCTTATTTTGGTTTAATTTTATTTAAATATATGTGGTCTTGTCCCCCCAAAATTACCCTTTTCTTGATATTCTTATATAAATTTGTAAAAATAAATTTCTTATTTGTTATTACAATACAAATTAATAATACGGAAATTTATACTTTTTTTTATTAAAAAGTATAAATATTTACTTATTTTAACATTTTTTTCTATCAACAATTTAAAAAAAACGAGGGCGCTGCCCCAAACCCCCGAATTTGGAATCACTTGCTAAATTTTAAAATTCAAGATGATTGTGTTGTTGTAGACGTAGACCTACTGAATGAAATTTCACCGGGTAACATTATTATCATAGATTTATATACAATCGTATAAATAAACACATGGATGTGTGTAAAACGTGTATTGAATATATAAATATATATGCATACGGTTGGATATTACTCGGTGAAATTCATCGATAGAGATCTTTCTTAAATTTTAAATTTCTTCATGTACAATATGTGTGACCCTACATGAAACTACTACATTACTTTCCGTATGTTAGTGTGTATATATATATATATATATATATATATATATATATATATATACCATTCTCTATTACTTCAAAGTCTCTGAATAAATTTTTATATCTGAAGATGGCTTCAATAAAAATGATTTTCTTGGTCACAATATTACTAGTACTTATGGGTTAGTTTATTTTCCCTATCACTCTCATTTATTTATAGATGTTATTATTATCATGTAACCAAATATATATTATATATATATATATATATAATCAGTCTATTATATTGTGTTATATATGCATGTTAAAAAGCATAAATTAGTTTGATAGTTAATTTAAGGAGAAAATAATTAATGAAGTTTTAATATGAATTTGCAGGTGCTCCAATGTTGTCCAAGGCATCGTCGATATCGGGTTATTTCGGTAGATGTTATAAGGACTCCGACTGTAATACATCATCCCCCTTAAGACGCGATTGCCAAAAACGAGTTTGTATGAACACATATTGTGTTTGTGGAGGTGGGCACGTGAAATGAAGATCAAGAAGGCGAAATAGTATCAAGGAGGGTCTCGATCGATTGAAAAAATGTATTGGAAATATCTTGCGTTTGAAATGAATAAATTCGATATCTATAAGTATTGACTCGTTATATGAGTTGTGAATAAATATTGATCGATGTCGAGAATCATAAATTATAATAATTTAGATCGTATAGTAACAAAGTACTTCCTCCGTTTGAAATTAAGTATCGTTTAAAATTTCAACATATGTAATAGAAAAATTAATTAAAACATAGCCATCTTAGACAAAAAGAACCATACAATGTGATTAAAATATCCTTCTTAATTGTTCTCTATTTAATTACTTCTTTTAATTGTAAGTATTAACAAGGGCAAAACTGACAAACAACAATTAGTGCGTCATTTGAATCCTAGCCTTTTAAGGTTATTTTATTGTTGATTTACACACACCAATATATACCTGTGTAATTGTGGGTATATAAATGATAAAGATACATCCGATAAACATTGTGCACAAATTAACAATAAACTAAAGAATATGATAGTAACAATGTAGATTGACATTTGATTTAATAAACAATGATAGTAAATATATGAAAATTGGGAATGAACTTCCGAAAATTAGCTTTAAATTGGTAGCAAACTTTTACATATCTAACAATGAACTTCTGAAAATTTAGTATTTTAATAACCATTGAAAATCGGTGAAATTTGACAACTAACTTACGAGAATTGGACTAAATTTGATTACGAACTTATAAAAGTTGCCACCAAAATCGCTAAAAATTAGCGATGAACTTCGATAGATGTAGGATGCACTCCGCACTATTCACATGACGCACATGCGGTGTTCACAAATCTAATACGATGGTAGATTTGTAAGGCCAGTGAGCGTGAGTCGCGAGACTGTTTACGTAACCAAAATATGTTATGACCTTATTGTCAATGAAACTACATCTAAGGGTTATTTTTGTAAATTTTCCCAAAAAATAAACAAACATCTCTGCATGCAATATTCGTTCTACTTGCATACCAAAAGCACCTTACTAAATTACGATTACTTCTCGTACTTAAATATCCTAAAGTGATGTCACACTCTATATGGTACTATCCAACAAATAAAATCCCATTAATCACATTCTCCAATTACTTTGAAGTCTAGGAAGATTTTTTTATAAGTGAAAATGGCTTAAATGAAGATGGTTTTCTTGGTGACCATATTGCTAATACCCTCACTACTACACAAACATGACATGAAGAACATAAAAAATGCCCAAACAGGGGAGGCTTCTTAATCAATTAAAAATTTATTTATTGGAAAAATAATAATGTGTTTTGAAATACTATTAGATCACTTTTACGGTGTTTAAATTTATAAAAAAAATTGGTATTCAACTCGTTATATGAGTTGTGAATAAATTGATCGATACCAGAGGGTTCGAATCCCTTTGGATGTATGTGTTGTAAGCTTGTAATTGATTAATAAGATATGCCTATAAGATGCTTTATAGCTTATAAACTCTTCAAAAGTGGATAGTATTTTTCGCTGAAAGATGTTACAAATTTAAAAACAAAAAATTGTTGAAGAGCTTATAAAATCCAATTTTATACCTACACTCTGATAATTTTTTTATTTAAGATGTTATCAGTAAAAATAACTTATATAGTATTTTACAGAGAAACACTCTCTTAAACTGGAAAATTCGCACAAGATTGCACAACCTCGTATTCAGCAACCAAACGGAACCTCGGTTTAGCCTAAATATTTTAGCTTAAGCAACAATGCTCGATGAATGATCATAATCTCGTAATCATTAAATAAATAAACGAAAACCCATCATGTAAAACTTCGATTATCCCATCAAAAATTATCAATTATCCTACTTTCCCCTTGCCCCTAGAAATTTATGTCCTAAACTCAACCACGTTTTTCCATTCCTATTATTACACCGTAAATAAATTTTCGGATAAAAGAAAGTCTAACAAAATGGCAATACTAATCACTCACTCCAAGGATCACTCTCAGTCCTCACTTCCGAAGCCTCGATAACTTCAGAAACAACAGAATCTTGAGAAGCATCTTCTGCTGCTACCTCATCACCCTCATCCGATCGGCCCCACCTTCCACCGAGTGCCATAGCCATCATCTCGTATATCTTGTTCCCTAGCTCAGCTGGACTATCAGGCTGTCGATTTTATAAAAAAAAATTGTCAAGATTTTGCTGCTTTCGAAAAATCCCGAAAGATATTTAATTAAATACTTACAGTGAATCCACTAGAGATCAATGCTGTGTCGTAGAGAAGTTCCACTGCCCTTTTGGCGTCGGTGCTCTCGGGTTCGTTCTTGCATGCAGCCTGCAAAACAAGTAAAACCAAGATCGATATATTCACGGAATTTTTCTAAATTTTTCGCAACGTCTTGATTTAGCTGATTAATTTTACGTATATATCTAAATAAATCCGTGTACAACATACATTAAGATCCTTGACAATAGGGTGATCTGTGTTGATTTCCAATATTCTCCTTCCCCTCATGAATTCCAGGCTCGTAGTATCTCCAAGTGTCTGTGCCTTCATTAATCTGTTTTTAGACCAAAAAACGGTGAATAACTAACAGAAACAAATAGCCCACGACAGAAATTTGCATAAATTTGCATTTTAAAAAAATAAAAAAAAACCGTAAATGCACCTTTCCATGTTTGCTGACCATCCAAACTTGCCAGAAACGAGCACACAAGGCGACGAACTTAAACGTTTGGAGACTTGCACTTTAGCCACCTTGTCACCAAGTTGTTGTTTTATCCAGTCGCACAGTAGATTATATTCTTGCTTAGTTTCTCTCTCATCCACCTCATCTTCATCACCTATATATCATTCGCATATAAGGTTAAGCAGAAATAATTAAATAAAGAACTCGATTATTTCTCTGGGGATCACATAAAGAACATAAGAGATGTTACTAACCAAGCTCCAAATCCTCTTTACTAATGTCAACGAATTTCTTTTCTTTGTACGTCTGCAAATTCTGGATGGCGACTTCATCGATCGGGTCAATTAAGTATAGAACCTGTTAAGTTATTAATAGGGTATTGTAAGAACACGATACAGAGCAATAATAAAAAAGAAATGATTTATGCCCCATGTTCGAGAACTAGATTGTCACACGAGAAAGCACATACCTCGATTCCTTTCTGGAGCAATCTTTCCAAGAAAGGAGCGGACTTTGCACTTTTTAAGCTGTCTGTTGCCAAATAAAAGATAGCGTTCTGCTTTTCACCCATGTTTTCGACATATTCATCTAGACTTATTCCTTCTTCCTCACTCTTGGAAGAGAAAAATCTCAATAACGGCACTATCCTCTTGTGATTTCCGGTGTCTTCAATGCATCCCAGTTTCATAAATTTACCGAAATTCTCCCAGAACTTTTTGTAATCCTAAAGTTACACAACCAACATTATGTAAGTATTTTATTTTTTTTCTATGTAAAGAAAATAATTAGTTTCTAAGCAACCGACCTCTTTGTTCTCACTCTCGGAAAGATCTTGAATCATGTCAAATGTCTTTCTCACCAGTCTCTTTCTCATTATCCTTACCTGGATTATTAGGAACATATATATGCATCAATATTTAAAATTTAAAAATAATATATATATATATATATATATATATATATATATATATATATATATATATATATATATATATCAAATTGATTTATGAGGTCAGAATAAAGGAACCCCTTACAATTCGGCTCTCCTGTAGGATCTCCCTGGAAACATTAAGTGGAAGGTCATTTGAGTCAACAACACCCTTCACAAAGCTCAAGTATCTTGGAAACTGCAAATTTGACAAATTCGTTTACATTAAAACGAACATAACCAATTCAATTCATAAGAAACATAGTGAATCTTAAAATCGAAACATTAAATCAAAAGACATAGCAAGTTCTTACCAGTTCACCATCAAAATCATCTGAAATGAACACACGTTTCACATACAAACGAATATTCTTTGTCTTGGGGTTGATAACATCTTCGTTGTTAAGAGGAGCCATTCCAGGAATATAAAGCACACTTCTAAACTCCACCTCACCCTGCACAAGTTTTCAATCAACACCATCAAAACACTAAAATGGAAAGTAGCAAAGTTTTATGACCCGTCAAATGTAAAATACAGATACCTCTGTGGTGAAATGGGTATGGGCAAGTGGGTCCAAAAACTCGTTGAATGTCTTCTTGTAAAATTCTTGATATTGATCCTTCTCAACTTCCTTTGGACTGCGCATCTGCATTTAGTGAAGAAAAAAGGAAGGACATCAACAATGTATTATATATAGATATATATATATGAAACGTCAGTCACGAAAAACGTAAGATAACCAATAATAGTTTGCTCACCCATATGGGTTTTGTTTCATTGGCTAACTCCCAATCCCAATATTTTTCAGTTTTTGTCTTTTTGGTCATTTTCTTCTCTCCCTGGAAAGAGCAAAGAAAATAACAAATTGTCAAGATCATATTCATCTCTTCGAATACAAAAACAAATTACAAAGAATGTGTTTCTAAAAGGCCGTCACCTCTGGTACTTCTTCTCCCTCTTTTGGTTCTTCCTCTTCTTCTACCTACCGAATTTGGAAGAGTAGCGGTTAACAAAACACATTTGGTACTTTAATATACACTACAGCCACAGTATGACTGAAATAAAGGTCAAACCTCAATGGTCCTCGAGTTCTCTTTCCATGTGTATATCGGAAACGAAACAAATTGTGAGTAATTCTTCACCAAATTCAGGATCTTTGCAGGCTCGGTGTACTCATACTTATCATCTTCCTGCAAGGCGAAACGTTGCTAAATTAATCTCATTCAAAATAGCAAACAAGTTAAAAAGAATCAGTAGAATAATTTAAAAAAAATACCCTTAGATAAAGGGTGATCTGTGTGCCTCGACTGAGGAAATTATTGGGATCTGTTTCCTCCCTAATTACGTAAGAGCTGCTATCAGCTGCAGCTTCCCAGGAATACTGCTTATCAGACCTGGGGCTCTTTGTTGTCACAACAACCTGTAATAATCGGCAAGAAAAAGCTCAAAGTAAATCAGCATTAAAAAGAAACATAACAGAAAATCGTACAACATTCTCAAACGAACTAAATTCGAAGATACGAAAAGTCCGAGGGTACCTTTTCAGCAACAAGAAAAGCAGAGTAGAACCCCACACCAAATTGACCAATCAAGCTATTGTCAGCCCCAAGGTCCTTGTTCTCCTACACGAGGCGAATCTCCAATTGTAAGATTTTGAATGAAGATACACAAAATACAACAAGACAAGAAATCGATTTACCTTCAATGCCTTCAAAAATCGAGAAGTTCCACTCTGTGCAATAGTTCCAAGACAGTCTATAAGCTCCTCTTTTGTCATTCCGATACCACTATCCCTGCAAGGAGGAAAAAATAAAACTAGAGTAAGCTATTTTATCCATTTCAAAACCAGGGTAAGAAACATAATACGATACATACGTTATAGTAATGGTTCCATTATCGGGATCGGATTTGATACGAATCGCTAGCTCACCAGCATCTCCAAGTAATGCAGGTTCGGTAACACTTAGAAACCTCAACTTATCAAGAGCATCGCTTGCGTTACTGCAGAGAAAAACGACATTAGTTGATAATAGTCTATTACAACAAAAACTTAATTAGCTGAATAATTAAACTTATAGACTCACATACTAAAGAACAACGAAAAAAACGTTCTTACCTCACAAGCTCCCGGAGAAACACTTCCTTGTGGCTGTACAAACTGTGGACAATTAAGTCCATCAATCGACTCACCTGAATAAAAGCAACATCAAAAAATTCAACAGCAAGAAATCAATATCCCAATCCATAGAAAATCAACAAAATTACTGCATCATAGCCTATTAAAAAAAATAAAAATTCAATCTTGCAACATATATTAGAATAAGAAGACCCAATTCTCAATCATAAACAATTAATTCCTCCAAACACCCCGAAAGAAAATCAAAAATCAAAATAGCCGTGCTATTATTCAAAACCCCCAATTAAGACATAATTTAATAAAAAAAAAAAAATTGGAAAATCCACCTCCGCCTGGTACTCGTAGGTTTCACCATCGGCTTGAGGAGCCTCCTTCTCAGCCACGGCGGCCGCCTCGCATCTGACGACGACACTGCTCTGCCTCCTCTCCAGTTTCCACTCCAATCCACTCCTCGAAAAGCTGTTCTTCAATCCATTTCTAGGTAAAAAAGCGCTCCTCAGAAAACCCCTACTGCTCTTACCAGTGTTCTTAATAGAAAACGACGCCGTGTAAGGGACGGCAGCCACCGCAGCAGAGGCCAAGCTTCTACTCAAAACAGGCGCCATCTTAATTAATTGAGTCGAATTCAATCGGAAACAGCAGCGGAAGGGGTTTGTGTTGTGTGTAAAATTGAAATTAGGTAGGGGAATTTGGAGGCGAAGTAGATAAGTAGAGAGTGAGTGTATAATGTATAGAGAGATGTTTATTTAGTGAGAGAAAGAGAGAGGGGGGGGGAAGAGGGGTTTAAGGAAGGGATTGGAGGGTTCTAGAAGCCAAAGAAATGGAAATACGAAAGAGGCTGATTTTGGAGTTTTGCGATGTGGGAATTGTGAGGCGTGGATTCTGCCATTTCATCATTTGCAATATCCTCTTCCTTTTTTTTTTTTTTTTTTTTTTTAGATGAATCGAATCGGAATTAGCACGTTTCGAAAAAAATAGTACTTTTTACTAATGAAAGTGAAGAATGAATTATAATTTCGTTTTTTAAACAAAATAGAGAATTCGTAAATAAGAATTTTAGAAGTTGGAATCGAAAACTTTATTCCAAATTCAGAATTTTTTTTTAATTAAAACCGATGGAATTTGAATATTTTATTTTCTTTATTTACATATAATAATAATAATAATAATAATAATAATAATTAAAAAAATAAAAAAATAAAAAGAAAGAATTAGAGACCCACACTTGTTTAAATTGATACAAATTCCAGCCCAGTAATTTGTGGCACTCGTAGAAATTAGATGATAGTTAAGCCCAATTAGTCATGGATCAGTCTTTTTGAAAGGGATTTGGGTTTGGACTTGCTTGGTTTTATATAAAAACATTCGGTGAAATTACAGTTTACGCCCCTTAAATTTTTCACCGATTTCATATTTGGTCCCTCGTGTATCAATTATTTGATTTTTTTGTCATTTCCGTCAATTTAGTGTTAGTCCATGAGTTAAGGCAGTGATAGGAACACGCTTGATTCCATTAGTTTTAACCAAAAATTGACGGAAATTACTAAAAATATTGCTTTTTTGAAACATGAGGGACTAAATGTGTTTTTTGTGAACATAATGGATCAAATGTGAAGTTGGTGGAAACTTGAGGGATAAAAATTTTATTTTTACCAAAAATATTCTTACCGATTTATTTAAGCAAAACAGTGTTTAGTTGATTTTGATCAATTAATTAGTTAGTTGGTATGAAAAATAATTTTGACAAAGCCAATGCGTAAGAAATATTCATAATATTTGCAAAAACATATAAAAGATGTAAATCATAATCCAAATTTGGATGATTGTGCTCTTTGAAATAATAGTTTTATTGTTCACATTGAGATATATTGCACCAGAATAGTTGTTATTTAAATTCAACTTGATGATGCAATAAATAGATCACCTTAAATAGTAGAGATAGAGGGAGTTGAGAGAGCAAGGTGGATCACTGCTCACGTGCTAGATGGCTCTGAGATACCTGCGAACAGAGAACACGTGAACTAAGCCGGGGGTTGATCCGGCGGAAACCCCTCCGACGCTCAAGTCAGACGTGCGGATTGTAGAAATAGTCGAGAGAATATGACTCGTCCTCTTATTCAGATAATAAGGCGTACCTTTAATAAATGAATTATATTGTTATTTATACATTAGTTCATGAGATTGTTGGACCCAAACCTTATTTGAAGGTGATTGGACAACAGTGATAGTGGTCTTCAATACTTGACTCGTGGCCCAGTAGATAAATAAATTGTAAGCTCATTGGGTTGGCCCAATTAGACATATCACAACTATATATTATTGTCGAGTTCAAAGATTCAAGTCTTTTTTTATATGTTTATCTTTATTATATTTTTCTTATTTTTAGAGAAAAGGAATATTATTAATTAAATCGATTACAAATTTTACTTATCAACGTTTGTCATAATTGAAGTTAGTGGTGTAAATGAGCTTAACCGGCTCATAAGTTCGATGAGCTGGCTCGACAAAAGCTCAAGCTTGAACTTATCTTTAGTAGCTCATGAGCTCATGTGAGCTGGCTCACGATATAAAATGCGTTGAACTCGAGCTCAACATGCTCGACTCAACTTGAGCTCGAAAAAGTCTGGCGAGCTAGACTCATTTACACCCCTAATTGAAGTTAACGAAATTAACAACACAAAATGTGAACAAATTTTGACCTGCTCAGTAGTCTGAAGTGTCAAAATGAGTTATTAGTGTATCTTAAAATAATTAAAAAAAAAATGAATATTCTAAATTGTTTTGATTATTTTTGTAAGTGTTTAATTATTTAAATGCAGTTATTAGTTTGCCATGTTATGTAATCACTTGGTTCGATGCTAATGTCGGTCTTCATTTTCTAACTGCCACTCGTTATGATTGTATATATGAATGAATCTCATTATATATATTTTATTTTTGTGCATGATAAATTTTGAAAGCTACAGTATTTATTTCTTTCACCAATATATATATATATATATATATATATATATATATATATATATATATATATATATATATATTCTTTTCGAATGTTTGACTTCAGCAGAAAGTTTCAATTGATTCACAATTATGAATATATGAGGAATCGTACTTTAATTCTTTATTTGATAAAACAAAAAATCGTATAGCTTGCAAACAACAACACGAAAGATGTAAATTACCACTCTGGACATGCATATACTATTATATATGACAAACTCGGCCGATCTAGCTAGAAAGCTTTTAATAATGGAACAATTCGAACTCAGAATAATTTGACTTCGAGCGAGCTCTCACGAACAAAATCTTTTATTTCTTGTTTAGTACATAACTCATTTTTTAAGTAAGAGATCTCTTGTTTGCATCACAAGGTTGGAACAGCATTTCTTCACATTTATACCTAAAACAAGAGATTTCGTTGGAGTACAAATTATATTAATTATTCCCTAAATAGAAAAAAATCAAATAAAACGAGTATTTTTAATTTATAAATGAAGTTAAATAAATAATTTTAAAGTCCTTTTATATTATGTATGAATTTTAGGAAAAATCATGGTTATCATGCATGTCGGAAAATATATCTTCGCATCATTTTTCTCCACATATCGTACCGTTAAATGTATCGTATCGTAACATATTTGAATAAATATTAAAAATAGTATAAATATATATCACATAATAATAATACAATAAAAATGTAAAATTAAAATTTTAAAGTCAAACCATTCATTTTAAAATGGATATAAATTAAAGTTTCAACATCAAATTATTGAGTATGACAAAAGTCATAGTTTTCAGAAATGCTAGTATCAGTTTTATTACATTTGCTAATATAAATTTTTTTATCTGAAGCATTTTTGTGGTTTTGCCTTAATTAAAAACAATTTAAAAAAAAAAAAAAAAAACACAATTGTTATAAACAAAATGTGCTGAAAATTGCATAAATCACCCCCAAAAATGCTGAAACTCGCACAAGTTACCCCTAAAGATGTTGAAGTTGCACAAATCACCCCTAAACGTGTTGAAAATAGCATAAATTACCCCTAAAGATGTTGAAAGTCGCACAAATCACCACTAAATGTGTTGAAAATAGCACAAATTACCCCTCAATATATATGCTGATAATCACACAAATCACCCTAAAAAAATTATCGTATCGTATCGCGTTATCGAATGATATTTAGCAATATTTGATTACAATCGATACATATGCCGAGTTGTATAGTGTTCATAGAAATCGTATCGTATCACAATATTAAAAATACATCAAATGTACATATATCTATATCAGCCGCACTGTAGCTAAACCACAGAAGTACAAAGAATTGAATTTTCTCGATGGAAAATAAAATAAAAATAAAAAAATTAGAGGCATTGTACGGAATTTTCACAGTTTGTGATGGAAAAATCTTGGTTCGAACGAGAAAACCCTAGAAAAGCTAGCCCCAAGTTTCAGTTAATTTGATCGATGTAGGGGAGAAAAAACAACACGCATACACGTACGTGGATGTGTGTGTGTGTAATAATATATTAAACTAATAAAACTATATAAACATGAATTAAATTAATGTTTTAGTATTAATAAATAATTAAATAATTAAAAAAAGGAATAGAAAAGACAAGAAGAAAAGTTAGTTGAGGGGATGCAGCTCAGGAAACAAAGCAAACTTTTTGATCTCGTAGAATGCATGGCGGCAGACAGGCGCGAAACACTTGTATCTTCACCTCCACGTTACTTATACACTTTCCAATATATAATCAATCAATCACTCCTTTTCTTTTTTTTTTACCCAATCCCTATTTTACCCTCCCCCATATTACATTCAATCCATTGAATCCAATCTTTATTCATTTCAATTCATTGCATAACATTTATACCCTATTTGTGACACTTGTGTTTAATTAAAAAAAAAAAAAAAAAAAACAACATTAATTATCTAAATGGGTCCTTCTTAGATTTTGATATTTTATGAAATGAATTACTCCATACGTTCCTTTTTAACTGTCGTTTTTAGCTTTGCACAAGAAACAAGAATCTCAATAAATAGTGTCTTATTTTCGAAAAAACTAAATTAGAAAGACTTAAATAATCTTGATCATTTAATTATATGATAAAAGAAAATTAATACTTATAGTTGAATTAGTAAGGTTAAAATAGGAAAAAAAAATGCATGTAATGCGATATTTGAAATTCTAAGTGACAGATAACATGAAACAAAATATTTTAAAAAATAAACAATTGTTATGGAACAAAAGGAGTAATTAATATATGTCTATATTAGAAATGTCATATTTATCTAGTTTTGTATGACCATAATAGGTATTAAAAAATAGGGTAAATTACAATTGTCCCCCTGAGATAAGGTCTATTTACAAAAATCCTCGTCATTTTTCAATAATTAGACCAACTCTGCAATTTGTAGATTTCTTACATATATATACATTTATTGAGTGTAATATCTATACGCAAGTGCACGTATCGTACAAGTAATATAGTAGACTAAAAGTCCGAATATCGATCACACAGAGAATATTTAACTATTTAATTCTAGATGCTAAATCCTACCGATTGCTATAAAGTCCACTCTACACAGTCGACTTTAGAGAAAATTAATTGAATTAAAATAAACTAAATTAAAGCAAATTAAAAAGACAAAGCAAGAAAGCAATTTAAACAAGAAGATTAATCAAAGTAAACAAGCCTAGGGTTTTATTCTTCCCCCTATGTGATTATTACTAGCTCCCTCAATTCCTTCAATGATGCAAGCAATTAAC